ATACACAAAATAATGTTCTTTTTAGCAACATCATATGACCCCTTTAAGTTTGATATATATGAAGGATGCACAACTGATGTATCTAAAAAAGCAATATCGTGATTGTCACGATCTCTAGCTGGAGTGCCCATGAGCTCCACTAGAGGGCACCCCATCCTGTACACTTTACCACTCACCCCGGACTCGATTTCCCATAATCCTCTGCCTGGACACATCAATTGCAATCACCAGTTGTTCATCAGATCTCATCATCAGTTCGCAGTTGTCTCGCATTAGAAGGACTTTAAAAGTAGCACACACACTCTCTGACTTTGCTGATGATTGAATGTTTAGCCTCCTGTTGTCTTGCCTTCTGTGTTTCCTGGTTTCCTGGTTATTGTGTTTGATCCTTGGACTGTTATCTTGTTTTTGATTTATTGCTGCCTGCCCTGACCATCGCCTGTCTTGTGGATTACTCTTTTGCTTGTGCCTGGGATGTTATTGTTTGTTGGTGTTTGACTCTGCCTGTTGTTACTACGCTCTATGAAATAAAGCCTTGCTTTTGGATCCCCAACTCCGTCGTCATGACTCCCTACATTACAGTGATGTATTGATGCTTGTGCTTTCACTACTTCATCAGACTGAATAAATGGCACTCCAGCACATACAGTTTGCCGTTCTAAAGATCAGTTTTGATTAATCACAGTTTTAAATATTAACTATACACTATCCTCAGACATTAACTATAAATACAGTAAGCTGAGTCATGGATAAAACTCTACATCATGATTAATTCTATATCACAATTAATTTTTCACGTGCATTATTCATAGAGTCACATTTTTGTGCAAGGCACGATATATCAATACACCCCTATTTAATAACCACAATACTGTCGGGCACAGTTTAGAGACCTCTCCACAGAACTTCTCCTACTTTGAATGGCTCTCCAGATATATTGTTCCACCATTAGTTCACGACTGGCTTTTCTGCCAATATCAACTATGCAGAAGAACATATTTAGCTTTCCCCATTGCACTTTAAAACATACTAAAGCGTTTTCTTTGCAAAAAGAACCGAGGTAAAAGCTTTCAGTAAGATGTATCTTGTCACCAGTTTATGTCTATCAGCAAGGTTTAAAGTAACCACATTACTGGTACCTTCCAAGAAAAACGGATTCACCTACGGGAAATGCACATTACATGCTAATATTCAGATGGCTATTTACAGATTCGAAAAATCCTAATTATAATGAGGGTGAGGGAGACACCTGCTGGTGAAATGGCTGGATTGTATGCATGAATATTAATACAGACAACAATACAATAAAAAGACTATATGTATGAATAGCATAGCAAACCCATTCCAACACAAGAAGAACATACAAACTCCACGCATGAAGGCTTAAGGTGTATGTGGCGATGAGTGCTGCTATAGAGGCATTCACTTGTTTCTTGTTTCATGTGTGGGATGAGATGCCTGATAACTTTCTGACCTGCTTGTGTTCCTTCTTGTGACGCATCTATAGTGCTAGAAGGTTTACCAAGCCTCCTTTTGAACTACTTCAGTCAGCTTCAGATATATTTCTGACTCTCAAGTCAGTCTTTTTGTTGATGTTTACATCCCTTAAGAAGATTGTTGATTTACAGGCTATCAATGAGCCAATGCTGTATGGATTTTGTTTTCTGTCTGTTGACAGTTTTGGTCAATAGGTTGCTTCTTCTCAGATGTAACCCAAGGTTACATCTTTTGGAGGGCATTTGTGTGGTGGCAGGATGTTCCTTCCCAACACTTTTATCAGATTTTTATATTCTGGACACAGATTTGACTCTGCTTCTTGGGTTTTATCTGTTTGAACAGGTGTCAATTCATGTTCCTCTACAAATCTGTGTATATGTTCACTTCCTGATGAACTGGCAGTCACAAAGTATGGCAATGTGGTATATCAGTTATATATGTAACCCTGGGTCCCTGAGAAGGCTTCAGGCAATTGTCACACATGGAGCATAGCATCGTCTATTGATAGACTTGGACATCAGAGGAAAACAATGCTAAATGCAAATAAAATGTAAGAAAGCAAAATTTAATGCAACGAGGTATTCTCAAATGGTTGTCAACAAAAACTGTGTATCCAGTCAAACTCTTCAGTACAATTAATGGCTGGCATGAGCATTAAACCATTGAAAACCTAGAGACATTTAGATACCAAACACAAGTCTGTGTGTTTTTAAGCAAAATCTGAACACATCACAACAAACCATCAAAAAGGAAACCACACTTTTGCTGTTGTATATATGTTCTGTGCCTGTTTACCTATTCTGTCATGTTTGCAAAACCAGTTGAAAACCTGGTATACGTATATACGGAAATGTTTCATAAAGTGAATAAATGCAGAATATGGGGGTAGAGTAGGGCTGGGCGATATAGCTAAAAAATGTATCAACGATATAATATTTCATATCGTTCGGTATCGATAATTATTGACATTTTTTATAACCTTTTTTAAAACAAAGAGCAATACAAACATTTTTTTACATTTAACCACTGTATTTTTAAATTAAGTCAATTTATTGAGACAAACAACAAATATATTTTTTGTTTTAACAGTCAAACACAAAATAAAAATTAAACAAATATCTCCTTTCTAATGTTTTATATGCAGATTAAATAGGTTAAACTTTTGGCTTGTTTCCCGAGGCCAAAGGAGGGTGCAATGAGCAAAATAATGCAGCGCATTAATTGTCAGATGACGCTCCCTGACGCACACCTAACATTCGATTGTACTATACTATATATTGTACTGTCTGCGTCACTCATAGCACGTGCCTATTTCGTGCACTATATCGAACATTTTTTATATCGTTATCGAAGAAGGTGTACCGTCGATAAATATCGATACCGTTTCATCGCCCAGGCCTAGGGTAGAGCTTTCTTCTTCTTCAAAAAGGGCTTTTATGACTGAGTTTGTAACAGATTGCAGTGAGTTTTCTAAATGACGCATATGATGTCGGATCATTATAATCAAAAGTACTCTCTTCATCGATAGTACTCAAAAAGTCAATATCCTTCATAGGTCAATCAAGGCAACTACCCAACTCATATTCCTATGCAAAGATAAACACCACTTACACTCCACCAAAATCCACTGAAACCCCACTAAAGACTGCAGCCCTTTTGGTAAAATCATGTTCCCCTTCAGGAACTCGAGCTGCGTCCGAAGACACTACCCTGAGGTTTGCTTTAAGGGGCGAAGCTTACCAATACCGAGTTCTTCCTTTAGGCCTAGCACTCTCACCCCGCACCTTTACGAAGTGTGTGGATGCCGCTCTGGCTCCACTGCGACTCCAGGGCATCCGCATACTAAATTATATCCCTGGGCATCCTCCACTACAATGGTGGGCACGTTAAATTTGTTCTTGTCTACATTTTGACCCATCTGGATGGAAAAGGTCTGGAAGAGGGCAATTCCAATACAGATGACGCCCATCACTACACTCCCGCTGATCAGCAGCAGGAAGCAGACACCAAAGCCCAAGCCGATCTCAGTCACAATGAAGCGACAGTTGTCGTGGGTGTAAAAGCGCTCTGTGGTATCATGCCAGCCCACAGCAGGCAAGGTGGATAGAATGAACGACACCATCCAGATGCCCATGACAGTATGGACAGCCTGCTTTTTGGTGTTACTCAACCTGTTAGAAGATAAAAGAGATTAATGATTATAATGCTAATAATACTATAATGAATATATTTGTTATATAAGAGACTAATAAAAATAGATTACATCATTGAGCTAAAAATAAATTTCTAACTGTGTTCTTGCCACATCAATACTCCAGTTAATTTTACTGAGGATGGTTGTAACAACAGGGTGAACTGTGTATCACCATCAGTTAGAAACCATTTACAAGGATGAAATAAACATCAAACCATATCCACCACTGTGCCACACTTTTCTAAATGTGACCCTGGAGCACAAAGTCTTAAGTCGCTGGGGTATATTTGTAGTAATAACCAAAAATACATTGTATGGGTCAAAATTATTGATTTTTCTTTTATGCCAAAAATCATTAGGATATTAAGTAAAGATCATGTTCCATGAAGATATTTTGTAAATTTCCTACTGTAAATATATTAAAACTTAATTTTTGATTAGTAATATGCATTGCTAAGAACTTAATTTGGACAACTTTAAAGGCGATTTTCTCAATATTTAAATTTTTTTTGCACCCTCAGATTCCAGATTTTCAATAGTTGTATCTCGGCCAAATATTGCCCGATCACAATTTCGAAAAATTATGACAGGTTTTGTGGTCCAGGGTCACAATTGTGTTTAACTTCATCCTGCCCACTATTACAACTCATGTATTTACCATCACAGCACCCTTTGCATATACCCCATTACACATTTACACAGTGGGAAAATTCTATCAATGTTGTAGATAAATATTGCAAACAAACAAATAAAAACAGACTTGAGTTACAGATGTTAAAACAAAAAGTGTTACTATCATCTCCCGTCTCCCCTATGTAACGCCCTTCTGTCAAGATCCAGTCAATTCCTGATTGATAGAATCAAGTTCCACTCTATTTTTTTTTCTTTTTGAAATATGTCACATTACAGAAGTAAAATAGGTTGTAAATAATATGTTGACTTTAAGCTAACTTTACACTTAGAGCACAGCACTGATTAGAAATTTCCTTGACTGAATAACATAAGACTAAAATATTTACTCAAAAACATTTTTAAATATAATTTATGATTAAAGTTGGAGTGCTATCTGAAGAACTGTTCATTTCTAAATTACATTTTTCATAGTGTTCTGTCAACAAAGAGGAATAATGATTTTTACCCATAGAAGTTCCAGTCATTATTAAAAAAAAATTTATATCTGGCCCAGCTAACCAATCACAGCACATTTCGTATTTCAGAAGGCGGGCCTTCATTTGATGAATTATTCGAGCCGTTCATGCCAGACTGGGGAGAGAGGTGTTGTAATAATGTAAAATATGTGAAAAATAATGTGTTTTTCGAACAACCTAGTATGAGTGATCTAGACTTATTCCCGCCTCTAGGCCATTGTAATGATGTCTACTGCCAATTTCCTCTGAGCAAGTGTGGCTCAGTTCAAGAAACAGTGCAACCACTAAGTAATGTGCATAAATGACTGTACAGTTCAAATTGAATTTTGAATTTTGGAGAATGGGCATTTTAAAACTATCAACCAAGTTTCAAACCTTTGTATTCTAAAAATATAGGATTTGAAATGATATCTAAACAAATAACCATGCATTCAAATGCTCTGAGAACTGTTACTTAAGATAACTGATAACATGAATGTTCATGTATGAAAACGTACTCGGTTACTAACGTAACCTCGGTTCCCTGAGATACGGGAACGAGTACTGCGTCTGCTTAGACGCATATGGGAAAAAAGCCTTTTTCTCCTGAACTGAAGCCTATTTCATTCACGCAGTGAAACTGCACGGCCATTGGTTCGTGCAGTGCTTAAAAAACGAACCAATGGCTCGTATGTTCCCTTTCGATACTACACTCGTACTGCGTCTGCTTAGACGCATATGGGAACATAGTACAATCACGCCGTGCTAATGTAGTGGAACTACTAAAGGTATAAACTTCCATAAGCAACCAATGCTCATATAGAAGTTAACAATAACCCAAGGCTAAGACGGGCTTAGCTTCCTAGCTGAGCTTCCTAGGTCCCACCTGGTTAATCGTTCCAGAGTATTCCCTTAACTTTGACACCCAGGGATCGAGAGCTAACAGGTGAAACAATGCCAGAGAACTTGGGCGTGATATGGCCAAGGGCTCTCTGCCAGATCTGTTTACGCAGCGCATGTCACTTCAAGCGGAAAGGACCCTGGCCTGCAAGGCCGGGACTTCCAGGTTATAAAACCTTGCGAATGTGGACGCACATTCAGTCTCCTCCACTGACCATCGTAAGAAAGAAAGTGAAATACTAGGTATGGTAAGATACTAGGTATGGTAACATTCACCGATTCGCATCGGTGCATTGGCATAAAAGTTCACGATGTGATGCATCGATTTAAAAAAGTGTGCATTGGATACAAGTTGGCATTTGTATCGCGATGCATCGTTTCTAACATATTTGCATCGGTAA